CAGGAGAAAGATGAGGCTTTCTACTCCCGTAAAGATTTACACCCTCGGAAACCCAGTACAGGGTCGCTATGGGTCGGAACCGACTCTACGGCACTTAACAACAACAACAATTTATACCTATAGAGGTTTTCAGAGACAGTTCTCAGTTTTTATTATTTTATTAAAAGGTTTCATAAAATATGTTCCTTACTGTTTATTTTTACATTATTAAGAGACAATGTTAATATATTTATAGATAAGGAAATGTCCTTATTTTCTTGATCGGTAGTTCACAAAATACAGTTTATTGCTTGAACGTATTCTTTCAATTAACTAATTGAATCTGACAGTTATATACAGTATCCATGCTTCATAATATATAGATGAATGATAAATATAAAACATATATAATGTTAATATAGTTGAAGTTATGTGTTAGGTTAATTTGTAATTTTGTTTTCTTTTTCCAGTTTTGAGTCTTGGTTTGATATCACTAGTCTTTCTGAAACTGCTGAGGATATTATTGCTAAAGAAAGAGAACAGAACGTATTGCATATGCTGCACCAGGTTTTGACTTTTTCTTATTTTTCTGCTTACTATATACTTATAGAATCAAAAAAGAACCTTACAGATCACCTGTCCAACTCGTTTGTAGTAGAGGAAAAAAGAGGGCTCCACATTTAACTGATACCTTTCCCACTCCCAGAGATATCACATGATTGTATGGCTGAACTTAAAGGGCTTTTCCAGATTTTACTTTGTTTATTTATATCCTTTTCCTCCTGAGTGGTTATTGTTGTATCCATAAGTAAAAAAATGAAAATGTGGTTTTTATGCAATGTTTGACAATATTTGCTGTATAATTTACTTCTCATGTGGTCCATGTCTGATCAGCTATTTCTTATGTATGTTATTAAGTGCTGTTGAGTTGGTTCCAACTCATAGTGACCTTGTATAGGGTTTGTAAGGAATGACTTGTGGGTTTGAGTTGCTAACTTTGTGGTGAGCAGTCCAGGGCTTATCCTACAGTGCCAAACCTGCTCATTATATATGAGGGTGCTTCAAAAAATTCATGGAAAGACTAACAATGAATCTGTAAAACACCTCATAACACGGATGATTATATTGAGTGAAATTAGTCAATCATAAAACGACAACTGGTATAACATAGTCCACAAAAGCAATGTTCTACTTTCTACCTTGGTGAGTAGCAACCAGGAACTTAAAACACTCCTGAGCGGCCATCTAAGATATAGCTATTGAGTTCTCTTTGTCCTGAGGATGAAAGTTAGGAAAATCAAAGACACGTGGAAACACTTGGCTCTGTGGATTACTTGAAGAACCAGATGGTGCCTGACTATACCTCCAAGCAGCTTGAAAGGGACCACATTAGAGGGTCCTGGATAGAGTAGGAGAAAAATGTTGAACAAAACTCAAAATCATAGAACAAAAAGACCATGTTACTGGTGGAATCCCTGAGACTATGGCCTTTAGTTGTCACTGTTGGGGTCTAGACAAGAACTCATCCTCATGGCTCAATTTTCAGCCCATAGTATACAGGTCTGTATGGGGAACACTGATGCTGGGGAGGTATATACACCTTAGACTGGTCAGCCATTTGAGATACAGCAGGGCAGCAAGTTCTGAAGGTTAGGAAAGGAGGAAGAATGGAAAGAGGAAACAGGAAGAGAAAGTGGGTGGGTAAGTGATGTTATAATGTGGAATTGCAATTCATGAGATAAAACAGTGCGTGAATTGTTGAGTGAACAACTGATCTGCTCTGTAAACCTTCACCCAACTCACAATAAAAAGTTTTTTAAAATTTGCAACAAAATGGAATGACAAAACAATGGAATTTTAACTAATTTTTTGATGCCTCCTTTTATGTCTATGCATACAATCAAGAACCAGTGGTATTGAAGGAAGTAGTCCAATCTGCACTGATGGCATTGGGGACATATGAGATTCTCTTACATTAGTCAAATCAACTGTGCAAGACCTTTGTAAAGTGTTGAAAAGCAAAGATGTCAGCTTGAGGACTAAAGTGCGCCTGACCCAAGCCATGGTATTACCAGTAACCTCATATGCATGCAAAAGCTGGACAGTGAATAAGGAAGACTGTAGAAGAATTGATGCATTTGAGTTATGGTGTTGGAGGAGAATATTGAAAGTGCCATGGGCTGCCAAAAGAACCAACAGATCTGTGTTGGAAGAAGTGCAGCCAGAGTGCTCCTTGGAGGCCATGATGGCCAAACTTCATCTCTCATACTTCAGACATATTGTCAGGAGGGACCAGTAAGATAGATTGGTAAAATGGCAGTATCACTGGTCTCAACAATTGTAAAGTTGGCCCAGGATCGGACAGTGTTTCATTCTGTTGTGCCATAGGGTTGCTATGAGTTGATACCAACTCGATGGCACCTAACAACAAAAATAAGGCGTTAAAGGAACATACATGGAAACGTTTCAACAAACTGATGCAACACCTGAAGCATTGATTATACCAAGAAATTTGGAAGACAGCTGCTACCTGGCCAGTGAATTGGAAGAGTTCCATGTTTATGTTCGTTCCAAAGGTGACACAAAGGAATGTGAAAGTCATCAAATAATATTAAAGTTACACACAAGTTAAATTTTGCTGAAGATGATTAAAAAATGATTATAGCAATACATTGAGAAGGAGCTGCCAGAAATTCAGTCCCGGTTCAGAAGAGAACGTGGAACAAAAGATACCATTACTGATGTCAAATGGATCTTAGCTAAAATCAGAAAATACCAGAAAGTTGTTTATTTGTCACAAACTATGGTTAATATTGTGAAAAAGGTATTCCAGAAGACAGTGTTGTGCTCATGAGGAAACAGTATGCAGATTTGAGAGCCAGAACAGAATAAGGGAATGTTGAATACTTTAAAGGGTGTGCATCAGGGTTGTATTCTTTCATTATACTTAGGCCAAGATGGCCAAACTTCGTCTGTCATACTTCAGCAATATTGTCAGGAGGGACCAGTCACTAGAGAAGGATATCATGTTTGGTAAGGTGGAGGGTCAGAGCAAAACAGGAAGACCCTCAACGAGATGGATTGGCCAAGTGGCAGCATCACTCAACTCAAGCGTGGCAACAGTAGTGAGGTTGGCCCAGGATTGGGTAGTGTTTCGTTCTGCTGTGCATAAGGTCGCTATGGGTCGGTACCAACTTGATGGCACCTAATAACAACATTCAATCTATATGCTGAGCAATAATCCGAGAAGCTGAATTACATGAAAAAGTGGAGACAGGCTCATTAATCATTTGTGATATGCAGATGATGCAACCTTGCTTGCTGGAAGCAAAGAGGACTTAAAAATACTTAGTGATGAAAAAAACTATAGTCCTCAGTATGGAATGCCCCTTAATGTAAAGAAAACAAAAATCCTTAAAACTAGATTAAGAAATAACATCATGATAAACAGAAAAGATTGACATAGTCAAAGATTTCATTTTGCTTTGATCCACAATTGACACTCATGGAAACAGAAGTCAAGAAATCAAAAGACATTGCATTAGAAATCTCTGCTGCAAAAGGCCTCCGCAAAGTGTTCAAGAGCAAAGATTTAAGTTTGAGGACTAAGCTGCACCTGACCCAAGCCATAAGCATATGAAAGTCGACAGTGGATAAGAAAGATTGTAGAAGAATTGATGCATTTGAATTACAGTTTTGGGGAAGAATATTAAAAAACTACCATGGACTGCCAGAAGAACAAACAAATCTGTCTTGGAATAAGTAAAGCCAAAATGCTTTTTGGAAGTGAGGACAGTGAGACTTAATCTCTCATTGTTTGGACATGTTGTCAGAAGAGATAAGTTCTGAGAGAAGGACATCATGCCTGAGAGAAGTGGAGGGTCTGTGAAACAGGAAAATCCCCCCACAAGATGGGTTTGCACAGTGGCAACAACCATGGCTTAAACATAATAGTTGTGAGGGTGGTGCAGGACCCTGGTTAGTGTTTCGTTCTGTTGTGCATCGGGTCACTATGAATCAGAACCTACTGAATGGCACCTAACAACATATACAGATTCTCCATAATGTGTGAAATACTTGCTATTACTAGATAACATCAATCTTAGTGAAGATGGATAGAAAATGGATCTCATTGTTTTGATATTCTTAAGGATATTAACCATCTTTTATCAGGTTTTTGGAACATTTCTATTTCTTCCCCTAGTAATTTTGTTTCTGGGCTGATATCTCCAGATACGTTTTTATTCTTAAATTAGTGGAAATGTTATATCTTTTTTGAGTATAGTCTTTATGCTTGCCATTATACCTGGAGGTTATAAAATTTAAACATGTTTGTGAGTCTTTTTAAAAGCCTAAATAATTTATTAATGGCATGTTTGACTGTTCTATACTCTACTTAGAAATGTGTTGGTGACTTTTTATCATCCCGTTATTGAAGAAGCTTGATTTTCTTGTTCATAGCTGTTGTTGATTTTTCACTAGTCTAAAAATTTATTACAATATTTAGTTAGGGACTATAACTGAAAATTCCCCCTTTTAGCCCTCTACTGCTGTCAACTCTATTCTGATTCATAGTAATCCTATTGAACGGAGTAGAACTGGTTCTTAGTGTTTCTGAGCTCGTAAATTCTTATGGAAGCAAGACTGCTTTTCTCTTGCTGAATGGCTGGTGGGTTCTAACCAGAGACCTTAATGGTTAGCAATGCAATGCTTAATCTACTGCACCACCGGGCCTGCTTTCTTTAGCCCTAAGAATTGTGGTGGTTATGTGCGGTGGAATCAGCTCCAATGCTGTAAATCTTTACGGGAGCAGAAAGCCTCATCTTTCTCCAGCTAGTCGTTTTTGAACTGCTGACTGTGAGATTATCAGGCCAACTTGTAACAACTCAGCTACCAGAGCTCCTTCTAAGAATTATAAATGTTACTTTTTTGTCTTCTTAAATGTACAAGAAATATTCGTAGAGTTTTTGGGAGAAAAAATGATTAAATTGTGAAATGCTATGGTTGTGATACTGAATTTGTGATAATTTGGGCCAGGCCGGGAAAATTTCAGGGAGATGATGTTTTATCTTTAGACACTTGATAGTATTTGCATAGAATGAAAATTTAAAGGGATGTGTGGGCAGAGTGTTCTTTAAAAATATTAGTAAATTTCATAAATATTTGTTTATGTTTACATTTCAGATTCTGACACCTTTCTTACTGAGAAGACTGAAATCTGATGTTGCTCTTGAAGTTCCTCCTAAACGAGAAGTAGTAGTTTATGCACCACTTTCAAAGAAACAAGAAATCTTTTATACAGCCATTGTGAATCGTACAATTGCAAACATGTTTGGATCTAGTGAGGTAGAATGTGAATTTGAAATATACTGTAAATGAGACTTCATATAGAACATTTCATGCATGATTTTAGTCTTACAGTTTCTCATTTGGTTTTAGAACTTGTTGAAGGTGAGTTTCTGCTGGCAGACGGCCAGTAAAAGTTGTAGTATTTCTATCTTCCTTCAAAATTTCAAGATGTATTCTATGCATACACTGCTTTATAATCATCTGGAATGCTTATTGTATGTTTAAATAGCAGTCCCAGTTTAACTCCAGTGTGCTGTTTGGAGATGACACATTAATTAATAAGCACTCATACTCTGGGAATCACTGCACTAAGCATCTGCTGGACCAAAATACCCTCCAAATAGTCTATAGAATACCTTATAGGTACAAGGTTATTAATAGCCAAGAAAATTTCTTTCAATTTGAAAGAAATATTCACTCCAGTCCCCCCCATGTTATAAGAGAGGGGGATAGATTGTAATTACCTTTATCTTGTATATAAGTTCAAAACATCTTTAACTTTGCCCACTGACATATAAAAGTATTTACTCTCAGGTACTACTATTAATGTTAAAACAGTTCCATACAACATTTGCGTTTAGCTGTAGATTTCTGATGTGCTATAGGATCAGCACTAGATTGCAAACCACAAGGAGAGCAGTTTAAACCCACCAGCTGCTCCTCAGAAACTCTGTGCAGGGTCGGTCGCTATAAATTGGAACTGACTCGTTCTATTAGAAATTACAGATAAAAGACAATTTTCTTACTTCACATCTTAAAGAAGTCATCTTGTACATACAAATATTTTACTCTATTTTGAATTTAAGAATATAGCTTTTTAAGTAGATATTCTTTTGATTTGTTCACATTTAGGAACAAACTGTTGAGCTAAGTCCTACTGGCCGACCAAAACGGCGAACAAGAAAATCAATAAATTACAGTGAAGTAGATGATTCCGGTAACGAATTAGAAAAATTAATCAGTCAAATGCAGCCAGAAGTGAACCGAGAAAGGTGTGTGTTTAAAAATAAACTGAAGTGTTTTTTATGTGTATTAGTCACATTTCTCATGCTCATGGATTATGTTTTTGGTAGAAATGTTGTGGAAGTGAATATCCCTGTAGAATCTGAAGTTAATCTGAAGTTGCAGAATATAATGATGCTGCTTCGTAAATGCTGTAACCATCCATATTTGATTGAATATCCTATAGACCCTGTCACTCAAGAGTTTAAGGTAAGTCCTTCTTAATCGCTTGCTTGTTGTATTTGTTTCCTTTTTTGTATTGGGGAAAGTAGTGCGGACATTCCTCACTTTTTTGTACATGGCTCTAATGCATTTCACAAGTAATTCCTTTTTTATAACAAATGTTTGTGGCAGCCATGGGTTGGGAAGCTGTTTTTCCAGCAACATGTTTTCAGTGTCTTTGTTGCATTTTGATAATTCTTTGCAATAGTTCAACTTTTTTCTGTAATGCTATTGTATACTTAATAGACTACAGTATAATGTAGGCATAACTTTTACACTGGGAGAAAAAAACATGCACCCCACTTTATTATATTTGCTTAACTTCTGTGATATAGAAGTGAGCCTGCAATATATCTGAGGTATGTGTGTATTTTGTTTGGTTTGATATTGGTCTGTTTGCCATATGAAGATTGTAGTACTTTCTGCCGTAAAACCATATTCTCCTCCCTATCTTAAAGAACTTTGTGGAGGTTCATTTTTATGTGTAACCCAGCTACTAATATTTTCATTTATATGTGAAATTTTGTATTTTATATGAACAGGTAAGAAGTAACCATCCTTTTTTTTTTTTGACATCTGTTTGTTTATTCCACAGCGAAAATAAGTGATAACTTGAAGTCATAATATTTTTTACAAGTTAAAGGAGAATTTGTGGCAGAGCTGCATTAATGAAACAGACCTCAGTCTAAATTCCAACACTAAACAGGTGTTCTCTGTTCCCATGGTGGAATAAATTCATAGCAATTACACAGGAAATTTCATAAGATCTGAGATGAGGCAAATAACCCTTTGAAACAAACTGCCCATGAACAGAGGCAAGCTGCAAATTTTCATTAACCACTGTACTGCAAGATGGGAAAATCTCCAAGGTGGTTAAGAACTCACTCTCCTCATTTCATGTACCAGGCCTTGGCTTGTCTGCCTTACTTGGGCACATCTAAACCCAGAACGGCTTCTGCACCCCATGCTCTGAAATAGCACCTCATCACAGACTGGCACGGAGGAGCCTGCACGCAAGCTTCATCTGTCACCTCCAGGGAAATCAGGGCCCCAAGTGTAGAGAACAGCATCATTTGCTAAAACAATTCTTTTAACAGTCAAATGAGCTGACAGGGATATGTATTTCATGAGCAAGCCAAGATAATCTATCCATTTCATCTTACAATTAGGTAGCCCATCCAAGTTAAAAAAGACAAAAAAACCAAAATTGACAAATAATGAAAAATGAAAATTCAAAGGATTTATGCCCCCAAATAAACCAGTCCTCTGCCGTCTAGCTCATTTGCTCCATGTACAGGGCAACCAGGCAGTAGATGGTCCCTCTCAGCATCAATGCCATGGTGGTCCGGTAAAGCATTTGGTCAGGCAGATCTCGTTTCAGGTGGATGGGAACACCATCAGATTTCTGGAAAAACTTTGAAGTTCTGAAACTTTATTTTTCCCAGCATAATCATAGGCAGAATTGGAGGTCAATTTAGTTGGTGTGGCAATTATGATAGGTGGTGCTTCTGTGGAAACCACAGGCTTTAATCCCTGCAGACTATAGACCTCAGAAGCTCACGCTCCGGCCAACTTCTGCGTAAAAAGCCACTGAATTTGTAGTACATGATGCCCAACGTCAGGCTCTCCACAACCGCTACCTGAGCGACCACCCCAGAAAAGGCCCATCCTAATTTTATAGAGGGAAATTGAAACTTTATTTTTAGTAATGCATTTGATTTCTACTTTGCCTTTTACTTGATACCGATTTTAGAACTATTACTCACCATTTCAGTATTGCTTTTAGTTAATACAGTATGAAAAGGCAAGCAACAAGTTAGTTTTTTAGATTGTCAAAATCATTCTGATGGCTCCTTGTTTAAGTCTTAAATAGTCACAGAAGAGAACTAAAAAGTTGATCATTTCATTTGAGAGGTTTCAGATCTAAGTGACTAAAATTACTTTCTTGGGCAATTGTTTGTAAAACAGCATCGATGCTCAGTAATCCTCAGTAACCTTTGTTTCATACTAGTTTATAGCAAATGTCCCCAGCCTTAGCTTTACTGATACTTGGGGTCAGATAATTCTTTTCTGCAGAGGTGCTACCCTGTTTTGGCATTCTTGAGCTCTACTCACCACATACCAGTAGTTCCCCTTACCTCATTTGGGATATCCAGAATGTCTCCAGACATTGCCAAGTGCCTCAGGGAGGGAGGGAGGTGGTGTCACAATTGCCCCATTTGAGAACCATGGGGCAATTGAGTAAAGGTGAAAACTTTCTTACTCAAATCAGAGTGCTTTATTTCTTCCTCTTTCCTGACATAATTGTTTCATCAGAATGAATTATTACTTTACCCTCAATGCCACATATGTTGCTTATAATCTCCTTTTTAAAAAATTTCTACGAACACATCTAGCAGTAATTTTCATTCGCATTTTATTGGAAGTATAATCTGTTTTATAGAATAAACAATAATTTTGAGTCCAGTGTTCTCTTACACAAAGCCTATAGGAGAGAGTTGAAAGGAAAGATCAAGATTATACTTGTAGGTAATTTTGTTTTTGCAAGTCATTGGATTAACATTCTAACGTAATTTACACCTTCTTCCGATATAAAACTAAAACTAAGGTCAGTTTTAAATTGATTTATTTGCTAGTCAAAGGTAAGCTATTCACGTGACTTTTATTTTGGCAAAGCAAATGATTAATAATTATAGTGATTATTTTCTCTTGTTTTTTTCTTTGCCCATTTTTAAGATTGATGAAGAATTGGTAATAAATTCTGGGAAATTCTTAATTTTGGATCGGATGCTGCCAGAACTAAAAAGCAGAGGTCACAAGGTTGTACTTTTGATTGTAATTTTGATTCTTCATTTATCTTTATTAAATCAGTATAGATACTAAGATGTTCTGCAATTTCAGGTGCTGCTTTTTTCACAAATGACAAGGATGTTGGACATTTTGATGGATTACTGCCATTTTAGAAATTTCAAGTTTAGCAGGCTTGATGGATCCATGACTTACACAGAGAGAGAAGAAAATGTAAGATTTCATATGTCATACATAGCAATTTCTTTTTTTGCAACTTGTGTTTAGACATCTAGTGGCCTTGGTGTCATGTTGGGCACCTCCACAGGAGGAAGATCAGGCTGCTTACTCCTGTGAAAATTTATAGTCTTGGAAACTGTGGTTACTATGAGTTGGAATTAGTTCTATTGCTGTGGGTTTTTTGGCGTTATATAGATATCAGAGGTAGTATTCATAAATACAACTTGAAAGGAAGATAGGAAGGAGCAAATATTCTGGTGTTGTTAGGTGCCATCGAGTCGGTACCAACCCATAGTGACTTTATGCACAGTGGAACGAAACACTTCCCGTTCTTGGACCAACCTCATTACTGTTGCCACGCTTGAGTCCATCAGTGCTGCCACTTGGCCAGTCCATCTTGTTGGGAGTCTTCTTCTTTTGCTGACCCTCCACCTTACCAGAAATGATATCCTTCTCTAGTGACTGGTCCCTCCTGACAATATGTCTGAAGTATGACAGACGACGTTTGGCCATCTTGGCCTCCAAGGAGCACTGTGGCTGCACGTCTTCCAAAACGGATCAATATTTCAATATTCTCCTCCAACACCACTCTTTCTTCCTAGTCTGTCTTTGTCTGGATGCTCATCTGAAACCAGTCCACCATGGGTGGCCCTGCTGGTATTTAAAATACCGGTGGTATAGCTTTCAGAATCACAGCAAGTCACAAGTCACCACAGTACGACAAACTGACAGATGCGTGGTGGCCGTTTGGTTTTAAGTGGAAAATGTCACTTTAAATTTCGAGGACATCTGTGTGCATGTGTAGTAGAACTCTCCAGGGGTGGGGGTGGGTGTCCATTTGCTCAGGCATCCCCTCTAGTCACCAGAATGGAGGTGCGCAGACAGCGAGATACCATGAACAGATACCAAAAAAAGAATGTCCACTCTGCATTTCTGTCAGGTGTCCGTGGCTGTTCCGATCCTTCCCCTGCTTAGTCTTTCCCAAGATGACAGCTCTGGGAGCAGCTGAGCGTCTTGAATTAGAAAGCAATGGGTTTCTTGATTCTGCTACTAATTTCCATAGCTGTAAGCCTTCCAAGTTTCTAAATATTCCTTTATATATGGTTCATAGTTCTAGCACCATCCTCTGAGCCTGCTTGGTCCGTTATTCTGTGTTGTTACTGATGTAATTCCTTACTGCGTGTCTACCCAATCTGCCATCTTGTTTATTATCTGTAGCAGAATCAAAAACATGAGAATTTCATTTAGTACTAATAAGTCTTAGAAGTCCTGGTATGGTTTTGTAGCATAAACAGTAGACTGCTAACCCAGAGTTCAGTTTAAAGCACCAGCCACTTCTTGGAAACACAATATAAGGTCACTATAAGTTGGAGCTTACTCAAAGCACTTAGCAACAAGTTTAATTCTCAAATTATAGGCATCATCTGACAGAACCTTAGATAGTAATTTTTTACTTACCCATTACTGTCAGTATATTGGATGATGTTTTTTTTGCCCTGATACTGTCTTACCTCACAACATTTTACAGTAACCATCTTTATGTAACACTTAAAATTTGTCATTAACATTTTGCTATACTTGTTTTACCATATGTCTACCCAACAGACTTCTGAATAATTGTCCCTTTGTCCCTGTTTGTTTATAATTTATTTTTCTTTTGGAGTAAAATTTACATGGTTTGAGATGAATTTTAAAAATACAGTGTTCATTTGCTATGTTTTGACAGATAAATTTATCACCCAGACAGCTGCTATTGTCTTTTATTTCATTATTTATCTTTAGCCTGAGTTTCCCTCCCTCAAACCTCCAAATATTGTCCCTTCAACGTCCCTTGCGATATGTGTCTTTAACAAAGTTAAGATCTTAATAAAAGAAGTACTTGGGAAAGGACGTTAACATAAGCAAGTGATTTAATAGTAAATAGTTGTTTATTCACATTTGTATAAACCTTTAACAGCTGTAGTTAGAAACAGTTTCCCCTACTCTTGTTGCAGTTTCTTTCTTAATTCCTTCCTTATGTTTACCCCTTTTTGCTTTTCAGATGCACAACTTTAACACAGATCCTGAAGTGTTTATCTTCTTAGTGAGTACACGAGCTGGTGGTCTGGGCATTAATTTGACTGCAGCAGATACGGTTATCATTTATGATAGTGATTGGGTAAGTTGGAAGTAAGGTATATTTTCAGCAATATGCTTATTTCCATTCTGAATTTTTAATTTTTGGAAAGGTATCAACTTTCAGTTAATGAAACCTTAAAATAAATTTATATATATAAAAACCTGATCATATATCTTTTTGTGTATTTAAGATTTTTTTTTTTTCCTCCCGGATCACTAAGGATATTTTTGTTATGGTTAAGGGCCTTTGAGTTGGTTCTGACTCATACTGATCCAGTACACCCCTGTTGTTAAGTGTCATTGAGTCGGTCCCTACTCATATATACCCTGTATAGGGTTTTCAAGGAGCAGCTGGTGGGTGTGAACTGCTGACCTTGTGGTTTGTAGTCCAGTAATGATCCATAGTGCCACACCAGAAGTCTGTGTGTGTATATATATATATATTGTTGTTGTTAAGTGCCGTTGAGTCGGTTCCGACCCATAGCGACCCTAAACAGGGTTTCCGAGGCTGTAAATCTTTACAGGAGCAGAAAGCCTTATCTTTCTCCCACAGAGCAGCTGATAGTTTCGAATTGCTGACCTTGCGGTTCACAGCCTGATTCGTAACCACTACGCTACCAGAGCTCCATATATATATATATATATATATGTATATATTTAATATGGACTCCTGGTGTGGCGCTATGGGTTAATGTGCCTAGACTGCACAGTTGGTTTGAACTGCAGGGTTGGTGGTTCAAGCTCACCAGTCACTCCTTGGAAACCCTCTAGAGGGTCGCTGTGGGTCGGAACCAACTCGAAGGCACTGAACAACAACTATATATATATATGTATATATATATATTAAAGGCATATGGGATGATAATTTATCTGACATTTCTTTAGAATTCTAAATTGAATTAAGATACCTTTGATGATACGTTTCTGATCAGATCATCTATTTTAATTTATGCATTTATTATGAATTTAAGTTAATTTGAATCTAATATTATTAATCTATTTTTTTCCTTTTTACCTTTAAGAACCCCCAGTCTGATCTTCAGGCTCAGGATAGATGTCACCGAATTGGTCAGACAAAGCCAGTTGTTGTATACCGTCTTGTTACAGCAAATACTATTGATCAGAAAATTGTAGAACGAGCAGCTGCTAAAAGAAAGTTGGAGAAGTTGATCATCCACAAAAGTAAATGCATTTATTTAGTGATTTTTGCTTCGGTTTTCTCTTTTCTCTTGTGAATTTCTATTATTTACAAAAGAAATTTTCTCTGTGGTACTTGATAAAGGCAGGTTTTAAATCAGCGTTAGGGAATTTGGAGGTGTTAAAGACTTACACTAAGTTGATTGCAATAAATAAAAAAGAATATTAGAATAGAGCTGGGAGATGAAGGATTGAGGATAATTTTAAGGTGCCACATCCTAACTCTTTTGGCATGGTTTTAATAGGTGTTTGTGTGAATGATGTGGTGGGGGTGGGGTAGTGTCTGACTTCCTTTGACACTTCATAAGGGTGAAAGAATCAAAATCAGCATTAGTCCAAGGCTGATATCTGAAACGGAGTTCATACATGCCTTCACCCTCTAACATTTTTAATACCATTGTCCCAAGGTGCACTCTGCTTCTCTGCTGGGTTCAAATATTCGTTGTAGTAGCCACACAATTTATAGACAGCACTTACTATTTTGGGTCTTTTAAAGGAGTTTAACAGATTACAGTTCAAGATCAGAAATGCTTAGGATATATATAGTCCTTCTGGTCAGAAGCACCTCTTCTCAGCAGTGCCTACAGGTATACCTCCCTCTGGTCCTCAACCTCTGCTCTACTTGGGCCTTGTTGCAAAGTTCTTTTAGTAGTCAGTAAATACCTAAGGCACTTGACTCCAGCTTTGAGGGTCAGCAAACCTAGCTCCCCCCATTAAATGCCTAGAGGCAGGCACCCCATGCCACAAATTAATTAGCCTGTTTCCTGAAGGCAGTCAGGTTTACTTGCTTCATGAACTAGCAAGCCAGTTGCTCTGTCTCGTGCTCTGGGTCTTGGTTCCCCTACCACTGAACCTCTTGGTGTCAACACCTCTTTCTCGTGGATCAAGGCGGTCCAGCACACAGGAATTTAGGGGTCTAGAGGACATTTCACTCCTGGCTCTTTCTTGATGGCAGTGAGATCCTCTATTTTAAGTTCATTTTTAAAATGTTTTCTGTTTTATTGAGATATATGCACACAATAATATTATACAGATCTTTAATATATACCTTGATGAATTCTGAAATGTGTACACATGTTTAACTACCATCCAGATGAAGATAATGCCCTTTTCCATCATTCACGGTTTCTTCATGCATCTTTCCTGTTGTGTACCTCTGCTCTCCACTGTTATGTACCCCTACTACTTGTAGCTTAATGTACTATTTTGAGATTCATCTATTTTGTACTGTAAGTTCATTCTCTTTTACTCAATAGTTTATTCATTTTCCTGTTGATGAATGTTAGGCGTGTTTCCAGTTATTGGTTATTATGAATAAGCTGCTTGACATTCTTATACAAGCCTTTCTGGACATGCAAGTATTTCTTCCCTGCTTATAGTGTGATTATAATTGTAGTAAATTACCAAATGTTTTCCTAAAGGGTACAAACACCAGTGAAGTATGAAAGTTGAACGGTGCGTTCCAGAAACCCTTACCAATACTTGATCTTTTCTTTTTAAAACCTATTCTAATAGGTCTGTTTTTTGTTTTGTAATAGGTTTTTAATGTATCAGATTGTGTTTTTTAAAAGGAATTTTAATTTTTAATATTTTTTTCTAGATCATTTCAAAGGTGGTAAATCTGGACTAAATCAATCCAAGAATTTCTTAGATCCGAAGGAATTAATGGAATTACTAAAATCTAGAGATTATGAAAGGCAAGTTTTGTTTTAATTTTAGGAAAATTAACTCATAGCTTTAGTTCGTTCATATAGACTTGGATATTTTGTCTTATTTTTTTCCAGGGAAGTAAAAGGATCAAGAGAAAAGGTCATTAGTGATAAAGATTTAGAATTGCTATTAGATCGAAGTGATCTCATTGGTAAGTATCTTGTTCTTTTATTTTTTAATGAAAATTTTGAAATATATATCTAACTATAGATAATAATATAAAGTTGTTGTTAAGTGCTGTCGAGTTGGTTCCAACTCATAGCCACCCTATATAGGGTTTCCAAGGAGTTCCTGGTGAATTTGAACCTCCAACCTGTGGTTCAAACTGACCTTGCAGTCCAGTGCTTATCCTACAGTGCCACACCATGAGTCCAATAGTATGTTGTTGTAGTTGTTGTTAAGTGCTGTCGAGTTGATTCTGACTCATAGCAACCCTGTATAGGGTTTCTGAGGAGCAGCTGGTGGGTTAGAACCGCCAACCATGTGGATCACAGTCCAGTGCTGATCCTACAGTGCTGTTCCAGGAGTCCTGTAGTCCAATAGTGTAAAGAACCCTTATTGATCATTTACTCAGTGTAGTTAATAGCCTTCAATTTTATTTCATTGCCATTTCTCTTTGTTTGTTGTTGTTATGTGCCGTGGACTGATCCGACTCATAGCGACCCTGTACAGGGTTTCCGAGGCTGTAAATCTTTGCAGGAGCAGAAAGCCTCATCTTTCTCTCACAGAACAGCTGGTAGTTTCGAGCTGACTGTGAGGTTAGCAGCCCGATTTGTAACCACTATGCTACCAGAGCTCCTTCTTTGTTTATTAGAGTTAAAATTAAAGCCTCAGACATGATAATACTGAACCCTTAAATAATTCAGTATTCAGCTTTTACTGAAAACATACTTTTAAACATAATATTACATTTAAGAGAAGTGACACTAGTGCTTGAGTATCATCTAGTGCATAAATCTTCTCAGAATTTTTTTCAGTTTGAGTCAGAAACAAATTTCATAGATTGTTACATCTCCTATATCTATATTTCCTTCTGTAACACTTCCTTACTTTTGTTTTCCATGCCATTGATTTTAGTTTTTTCCTTGTGATATCTTTTAACATTTTCAATCTCTCTATTTCATGTGAACTTGTAAGTAGCTCTATAGCCTTAGACTTTGTTTTCATATCTTAGTCGAGAATATCTACCAGGAGACATATGTTTGGCATTTTAAAAATTAATCAGTACCTGGTGGCTCTGTAGGAGAAGCTATAGATTGCAAATCTCAAGGTTGGTGGTTTGAGCCCACCAGCTGCTCCACAAGAGAAAGATGAGGCTTTCTGTTCCTGCAAAGATTTACAGCCTCAGAAATCCTGTACAGGATCACTTGAGTCAGAACTTAGTTGATGGCACACAACAGCAGTATCAGTAGATTTTGACTAGTCTTAATATTAATGTTCTTTGTCTGCCTTTATTTTACCTTATGGTTTTACAAACACATCCATTATATTTTCCTAAGAATTGCAAAATGGGGGTTCTGTTCTTTCATTTCATGATTAGCTGGAATTCATCTATTACAAAGAACCATCCCTTTTCTACTCTTTGGTTGCCATGAGGTACAAATCGTATAGAAACGGCAGAATTTTAGAGCTTTAATAAGAAGCCTTTAATGGTTTGCGTTGTTTTCTCCCTTCACTTTATAGATGAAGCTAAGTCCCAGAGAGCATAGTTAGCAAAGGAGAAATAGAAGGGAAATATCTCTCACTCTTTACCCACTGTCATTGAATTGATTCCGGATTATAGCGACCCCATATAGACTACCAGTATTGTAAATCTTTATGGGAGCAGACCAGCTATTAAAGGTATAGAATGATAGAATTAGAAATCAATCATTTTACTTTTTCCTATGAAATAATTGATTCAGACAAGGATCATCAGTGGTTGCTAAAAATTAGATGAAATGTTACTGGAAAATAGGATATTTACATGATGCTTAATTAGATTACTTCCATAGCAAAGTAGAAAATGTATCTTTACAGTGGAAAAGTATAGTTGATACCATTTTAAATGAGTGGCTAAATTTAGCAACACAAGTAGTAAGAACCCTGGTGTGGTACAATAGAATAAGTACTGTACTACTAATCGCAGGGTTGGCAGTTCAAACACACCATCCACTCTTGGAAACCCTACACTGGGTTGCTGTGAGTTGGAGCCAACTCCACAACAATTAACAATAACAAGTAGTGTACCACTGGATCTGTTATAATATGAAGTATGCAGCATCACTGAAAAAGTACAGTGTTGTTTAAACTTTTTTAAGAAGTTTAATTTTAAATCTAATCAAAATTCTAGACTTCAGTTTACAAGAAATACAGGAAAATATGAAACAAAAGTTAAATGACAACATGAACTAGTATCCAGACAAAGGGGGAAGTTGTATCAGATAACTGGCCTGGACTCTTCAAAAATTCATTGTCATGGGGAGAAAAAAAGTGTCGGACTGATGAAAAGTGACTAAAAAGACATAAAAACCTACAATATGTAAATCTTATTTGAATCCTTCTTTAAAGGGGAAAAGTTCTATAGGAGTTAATCTTGTAGCAAGTGGGAAAAGTTTAATGCAGATGATAAAGAATTTTACATTTGTAATTGTGATAATTATATTGTGAGTGTAAAGGAGAGAATGTCCTTTATCTTAGGGAGTGAATGCTAAAGGATTTAGGGATTTAGTGGCATGCTTGTGAGCCACTGGGTGGTAAGCACAGCCATTTTTTTAAGATTAAATAAAGAATAAGTATTTAAAATTCAGCACTTTCTAATTATTTTACAACCTATTCCTGTTATCTGTGCTCTAGATGGTACTAATCCTAAAATATTTTATAACGTGCTATTACACTACTTTTTCAACTCTGTGTTCAGGGATGTCACTATTGATAGCTTAAAACTGGTAGAAATAGTTATACCACAGAAATAAGCAAAAAGTACAAACCATGGCCTTTTTGTGAGTGGGGATTGATAACATTTATGTGGTACATCATTGGCTATAGTGTCATTTTTTTTTAATGTTTTATTGTGAATTATACGATGGTTTACATGGGAGAACATTAGTTTTACATTCATTCTATCGTAGATCGTTTCATTGCCATGGTTACAATCCTCTCCATGCATCATCAAACCAAAGGGTATACCCTGCAAGCCTGCCCCCTACACTGCCCCCGCCCCAGTCTTCAGCACACAGTCGTCCTCCCTCTCTGGATCTAAAGTCCCCAGCTGCTCCATCGCTCCACATCATCTTCTCTGCCTCCATCTCAGGCATCACTGCTTCTCTGGGTAGGGTCCCGCTCTCAGCAATTCTCTGTTGATGGTCCTAGGGACGTCCGCTCCTAGACTGGAAAGTTAATCACTCCCTTCTTTGCTATAAAACGTCTACCTTTACATTTCCAACCCTCACAATCAGTCCTGATAACAATTATTCACTGTTGTATCACAAGAGACCCATCTGCATTTCATTTCATCAGCTCCGCCTAGACAGATTGGATATTACTCACTGGAGAGTCTGCCTTCCTCCAGACCCCCTGGCTCTAGGTTCCCTCTTGAAAGCTTGTAAGCCAGTCACTTCTTGCCTTTGTAGTCACCTCCCCCCGTTTTGGGTAACCAATGTCCAAGTTGCCCATCCCTGTCTACTCTGTGTGTGGAGGGGATGGGAATGATTTTTGCTGTAAGGATTTGTTCCCTCTTTTGAGCTACTGCATCCATAGGTATAGGTCAAGTTCATCAAATTGTATCAGATTACTCTTTTTTTCCTCTTCTATCTTCTAGTTGAGCTCTGATCATCTAGTCATTGAAGCCAGGTCAAGTGGGTATTATCTGCAAGTGTGGGTGTTCTTGTGCATATGCCCTCTCTTTTTATCAGCTGAACCTTTCACTCTCCACATTGTAGGGCTTAGCTCTCCACTTCATTGCTGTTTTTCCCTCACTTTCCCTATCAGTGACGAGCGTGGTCTTCATTCAGAGCGTGTATTCCCCATTCAACTTACTTTTAAATAGTTCAGTTTTTAATTAGGTTCTTTGTGTTCTTAATGAATCAGAAAGGTATTTTGGTATATTCGGAATGCACCAAAGTTCTTTGTCAGGTACATGCTTTACAAATATGTTCTCCATAATTAAAGATAAAAGACCACCACCACCACCCCTTTAATGTTTTAACATGAAACAGATAGGAACAGTGTTCTTTTAAGATTCATTTTTAGATTCTTACAGTTTTTTTTTAAGTACTTGTTTTAATATTTTTCTCTTAGATCAAATGAATACCTCGGGATCTATTAAAGAGAAGATGGGGATTTTCAAGATACTAGAAAATTCTGAAGATTCCAGTCCTGAATGCTTGTTTTAACTTGGGAGTCCCTGCCCCCCCCCCCCCCCCCCCCCAAATGGCTCTAAGAAGTTCTTGTTTACATCTAGGTTTCACCTATATTGGCTCTGAAATCCAGATGGTCTGCATTATTCTTTTGATCACTTATGTCAGTTTACATAACTAGTACCATGGCATACATAGTAGGTGGTAATTTTCTGAGCCTTATTAAGAACACAGAAGTATTCATATTAAGTTTAGGTTTTCAGCAAAATTTTGAGACTCGGTAGTACTCGGGTACAGGCTGATATGTGCTTAACTGCTGCCAGATTTATACAGTCTTCCTGTGGAAGTTGAGTAAGTATTCCCTTTCTTTTAGCAATACAGTTCATGGTTGTTGGTACTTCAGTTATGGAGTAGGCTTTTTATGGGGAGATTTTTATGGGACTATGCTTTATGTTAAAATAAGAAATTGTGTGATTTTAGGGTCTATTTCTGAAAGATTATTTACCAAATAAATGTTGATTCATTATAAGATGATCTTATCGAATTCTTTTTTCAGGTGAGATAATTTAACAAAACTCTTGGCTGTGAGATTCAACATTACTATACTGACTTGTTACGTTCACTACTATAGCACATACACCTTATATATAAAGATTTGAGTTGGTTAATGAGTTAATAACATGAGACTCTAGAAGAAAACCTAGGGTCTTGACAAAATATCAGTAATTGGAAAAAGTTGTATAGCATGCAAAACAATAATAGAACAAGTTGAAGAGGTCCTTAAAATTAGTAGGAGGAAGACTAGATAGAACTAGAGAGAAGAAAACAAGCATTTGTAATGTAAAAAGTCTGTAATAGAGTACTATTACAACCTTCTGGTGTGGCGTTGTAGGATACTGTGCTGGACCACAAGGTCAGTTTGGACAGCAAGTTCAGAGGTTCAAACCCACCAGCAGCTGTTCCTTGGAAATCCTATACAGGATTGCTACCAGTAGGAACCGACTTGACCACACTTAACAGCAACAACATATGAAGAAGATACTATGAGAAAAGAAATCCTGGATATATCCTGAAAGAGGGAAAATGATCCCTGACCATACATATTATTTTGTGAGAAAGTGTTACTCTTGTTGCCATGTATGTTTTAATATAGATCACATTTTCAGTGCCTTTAAGTAATGGATCCAGCATTCAGAAGCAACCACACCTATGATAGGCACCCAGGGCCCATCATTCCTCTATAGTGTCTGGTGGACAGGACACCCACCAGTGAAGAACTCACCCTACACCCTGTGCATGGCTCTTGTTTTTTTCTACTTAAGTTTTCCCTTCTTGGTCCCAGAAGGCACACCCACTTCTTTACACACACCTTCTCATTCCATTACCAACATAGGCTCACACTCTATCATGTAAACGCTGAGTCGTCTAGTGCCCAGGGCAGATCCTTGCCCAGGAATAGGGGCTCAGTGCTGTAGGCATACTTGTGGGAGGAATTAAGGAGGGAGAAAACCTGAAAAAAATTCACACAATGTTCTTCTGACTCAGCAGGTTGTTGTTAAGTGCTGGTTGTTGTTAAGTGCCATTGAGTTGGTTCCGACCCATAGTAACCCTGTATAGGCTTTCCGAGGAGCAGCTGGTGAGCTTGAACCACCAACCTTGCAGTTCAAATGGCTTTGCAGTCACACATTTATACACAGAGCCACATCAGGACTCAACAGTTAGTTCCATTCAAATAGCTTAAAATTCCTGTCAGTGTAGAGTGGTGAAGTAATACAATTTCACATGTGGAACAGGCAGTAACATCCGGTGACTAACATTAGAAGTAATCACTGAACTACAAAACATTCTTAAATCCGTAAAAAATTATTAGTATAGCAGAGAATGTTTTCTATAATTTTATTTCAGGATAACTAGAAATGTTTGAAGTAAATCCATCAACAGGTTGGAAAATTCAAAGCTCTAAATACGGATCAACGAAGTCACCAAAAGCACTTTTGCACAGTACTTTGAAAATGATGTGTAGAATTGGAGATAACATTCAATGAGAAAAATTCCTAACAATAAACTAATAAGAGTGTGAAAATGAATAATACCATAGCTTAAAAAGTTAGAAATGTAAAAGAAACAAGGAAGACAGTAATGGAAATAAATTTGAGCACTCATGTGGAGCTCTGAAAATCCAAATGCTGTAAACTGCTTTTAGAAACTGCTGTTTTTCTTTTGTTTTACTTTTAAAGAAGAAACAACTGAAATACAAATTTGGAATTTTGAAAGATAAAAATTTCAAAGAAAGGAAAGTCTTCAGAGTCTACCTTTCAGAACTGCAGGAATTTGGATGGAAGTGGAGATTGTCAGTCCTGGCCTGGACTCGATTACCACTCATGGAGCCTGCCAGTACCCCACAAAAGCAGCTGCACCCTGGACACCAGCCTAGTCTTGCTGGGGCAGGAAATAGAAAATTTCCATCTAGTATGATCAGGAAACCTACAGTCTATAATGGGGCCTAGAGGTTGTGCAGGGATAGGAAGTAGGTTGGGCTACCCTTAGATGAGAGCACAGGTTGGTTGGGTGGGGGTATTCAAGGAGTACTGCAAAAGTGATCATCTTTATTCATCAGAAAAATCCTACTGTAAACAATACCATGTTTTCAGCCTTATTAAAATAATTGGCAATTGTAATAATAAAAAATGGGAGATTCTGGATCTTAGAGCCTCTAGGAGGGAAATTGTAAGGAATAATTTTCGTTCTGGCATGTGCCTGCATGAATGACTGGCCCAGCAGGAATAGCCGTCCTGAGGATGAACAGTAATCTCTGGACAGCAAACGTTCACCAAATAGATCACCAAAAAAGTCACATCCTCCTGAGGTTTCTGGGGTCTGGGGAGCCAAAGCCAAGCCATATGTTGGTGGAAAGAAGACTGAGGGCCCCCTTCTTACAGATGGAAAAAAGCTCAGAGACCACTGATGGTGTTCCCTAAACCCCTGAACTTGCTCTCCTGTGGTGTTCTAGGGATCCCAGTAATCCCCACTGTAGCTGTCACCTTCAGCCCCTGATCCTCACAGGTCACATACCACATTTACCTTAACCTTGTACAAAATGCATTTACCTTTTTACATTCAGAGTCAGTATGAGAGCTCTGGCTACTGTTGTTTTTGCTAGGATTTCTCTGATATTAACGATGCTGATCACTTTTGATACGCTCCTTGAATGCATTTATTTTTGTGAATTGCCTTTTCAAATCTTGTGCCTATTTAAAAATTCTCTTGAATTTTTTCCCCCATGAGATCTGTCATTTATTAGGGTGTCAGAGTTTGATAGATGAGGCTACCTGGTAGAGGGGTTTGTTGTTGTTGTTAAGTGCCGTCAAGTTGGTTCCGACTCATAGCGACCCTGTACAGGGTTTCCGAGGGTGTAAATCTTTATGGGAGTAGAAAGCCTCATCTTTCTCCCGCAGAGCGGCTGGTAGTTTCGAACCGCTGACCTTAAGGTTCGCAGCCCGATTCGTAACCACTACGCTACCAGAGTTTAGAGTCCCAGAAAATGCACCCCCACCAAAGTGGATTATTGCAGTCCAAACGGGATTAGGCGAGAACCTAAGTAGGTTGATGGCAGAAATAAGGGATTGGTTTTATACAAAGGGATTAGTAAAATATCAAGGATAATGGGAGCTAAGTATCTCACTGTCACCAAAGATCTAAGAGTACAGACAGGGAGACAACTAGAAGCAAGTCTGGGTTGGATTAGAATGTTAACTACATCAAGTGGGTTCTGACTCACAGTGACACTATGTAGGGTTTCTAAGGAGTAGCTGGCGGCTTTGAGCCCTCTGCCTTTTTTCCTTTTTTTTTTATTTTACAGCTTTTAAATTTTATTTTTGTGAATTGAATGAAGGTTTACAGACAAGATTATCAGCTTTACATTAAAAATATCATATACTTGTTTCATCTTAATGATTACAATCCTCTCCACGCAACAATTCTCCTGCTTCCTCCCTTAACTGCCAGTTTTTCGTTTAGTAGTTCAGTGCATATCCTACAGCACCACACCAGGACTCCAGATTTAGAAAACAGCAATTAAAGTGTTCTGAATCAGAGTGACCCTGTATAGGGTTTTCGAGAAGTGACTGGTGGACTTGAACAGCCGAATATGAATTCATTGCTGTTGTTATGTGTTGGCAAGTATAATAACAACTATAAATTTAAAGGAGTTCTGATGTGTCACTGTAGGATAAGCACTGGACCACAAGGTTGGAGGTTCAAATCCATCGGTTGCTAGGAAACCCTGTACAGTGTCATGAGTTGGAGCAACGGCACTAAACAACAATAGATGTAAATGTATACATGTATGTATACATCTATGATGCATATAGTCCTTGAGAACTATATGCATACAGTTCACTGAGATATATGTATATAGTTGACTGAGAAAACCTGGAAACTGACATGCCCACCCACACCTGGTGCACAGTAATCCTTTAAACCACATTTTCAGCAAGAAAGAGCTAGGTCTGCTTGGAGAAATGATGAATTTGAGAACTGAACCTGGTATATCTGTGTTCCAGAAAGTAAACAATTGGTCAAAGGTTAACCTAAAGGTTGCAGAATCCCTTCAGGAAGCAGTTTGCCATAGTAAATAATGACCTCATGATGATATAACTATATAAATGGAATAATATAATTTCAAAGAATCTGCCCTCAATTATGAAGGCAAGAACACTATATTATAGTGGAAGAAACTGCTAGATACTTCAAGTCATCAATGTGCATGTCTTTTGTAATAGACCATATTGAAATTGTTACCTAAGACACAATGAGAAGAAGAAAAGCATCATTCTGTGATAGCCCTGCTAAAGATGCGTGCCCTGACTCTAATTAGGAAAAGCCAACTAAGGGACATTCACAAATACCCAGTCTGCACTCTTCCAAAGTGACAAGGTCATGGACGTCAGGAAAGACAGGAATTGTTCCAGACTGAAATTGACTAAAGGGCCAAGACAACTAATTAAAAAAATGTGATTTTGGATTCTGGAACTGAACATAAGGTATGTCACTGGGACTTAGTGGAACATGAGGGAAAATGACTAGATCTGAAATCATCAATACTAACTCTTGTTATTGATGACTGTATTAGTCAAGAGATCAGACGACGTATTGCAGTGGGCAAATCTGCTGCACAGGAACTTTTTAAAGTATTGAAGAGCAGAGATGTCAGCTTGAGGACTAAGGTGCGCCTGACCCAAGTCATGGTATTTTCAATAGCCTCATATGGATGCGAAAGCTGGACATAAGGAAGATCATATAAGAATTGATGCCTTTGAGTTGTGGTGTTGGAGGAGAATACTGAAAGTGCCATGGACTGCCAAAAGAACCAGTAGATCTGTTTTGGAAGAAGTGCAGCCAGAGTGCTCCTTGGAGGCCAAGATGGCTAAGCTTCGTCTCTCATACTTTGGACATACTGTCCGGAGGAAACAGTTGCTGGAGAAGGATGTCATGCTGGGTAAGGTGGAGGGTCAGAGAAAAAGAGGAAGACCCCT